ATTATATTTTATATTTGTTTATCATTTTTTTAATTTTTTAATTACAGTAATACATCATGCCTAAGGATATTCAGTCTTTATCCAAAAGGCGAAAGAATCAATTAATAAATCACGAATTAAATAAAGTTGTTAATTATAATACTTTGCATTTAATTAAATTGGATGAGGCGTCTAGTGCAATGACAAATACAAAAATAACTATGGTTAATAGTGTTGAAACGTACTAAAATTAACATTTCCCAAGATGAAGACAAAAATAAATGAGTTATCAGCATAATTGCTGTCAGATACTGAAAATGTACAGCATAACTCTGAATCGCAGGAAAGTTTTTCAATGACAGATAGCGAATGCAATAATGATACAACTTTAAGAGAAGATTTACAACAATTCATAATTGAGCGTTGTATTGTACATAATACTTCAAACGAATTATACAATTTGAGAAACACGGTCACGTTGAATTGCCTACTGATGTAGGGTTTTAGTTAAAACACCACGCAATACATCTACACTTTTATTTCGCTGGGCAGTGGTAAATATATCCATTTTGGTCTTGCATCAGATTTGAAACAATCAATAAAAATGTATTCAAATTTTATTAATGATAATAACGTTAAGATTAATATTAATGTTGATGGGTTGCCAATTTCAAAAAGTTCTGGTAGTCAATTCTGGCCAATAATGATTTCCATTCAAGATATTGATATATATATACGTTGCCAGTTATAATTGGAGTTTATCACGGCATGTGCAAACCAAATAATTGCAATGATTTCTTAGCAAACTTTGTCGATGAATTGGTATTACTTTCCAAAAATGGCATAATTGTTTCCAATAAAAAATATGCAGTTATTGTAAATGCAATAGTATGTGATGCTTCAGCAAAATTATTTATTACGTGTTCAAAAGGTCATACGGGATACTTTGCATGTTCTAAATGCATTCAAGAAGGTGATTTTGTGCAAAATAGAGTGATTTTTCCCGAAACAAATAACGCTTTACGTACAGATCAGTCATTTAGAAATCGGACTCAACCCGAACATCATAATGATGATTCTATTTTAGAGAGACTTTCAATTGACATGGTATTGCAAATTGAGTTGGATTATATGCATCTTGTTTGTTTAGGTGTTATGAAACGAATGTTGCAATTATGGGTCAGAGGAAAAAAAGATGTCAGATTAGTAACAGGTGATGTTGATTCCGTTTTACATGATTTATTCGCGATAAAAAATTGCATTTTATCCGAATTTTCAAGAAAACCTAGATCTTTAAATGATGTAGACAGATGGAAGGCAACGGAATTCCGTCAATTTTTTTTATACACGGGTATAATTGTTATGAAATCTGTGCTATCTCCGTATTGTTACAATCACTTTGTTACTCTTAGCATTGCTGTAAGGATATTGGCTGGTCCTCAATTATGTATTTCATTCAATGATTATGCGAATTCATTGTTAATATGGTTTGTTTCTAATTATGGTAATATCTACTATGATGAATATCTGTCTTATAATATTCACAACTTGCTTCATATAGCCAAAGATGTACAAACCTTTGGTTGCTTAGATAATTTTAGTTATTTCAGATACGAAAATTATATGCAGAAGATAAAACGAAAATTACACCAACCCGGAAAACCTTTAGAAGAGTTGTCTAATCGTATATTCGAAGAATCACAGCTTCCAATCCAACCGTTCCGCGTTATGCAATATCCAATCATTATTTTTAAAAACAACAGAATTTCTTATCTACAATTTCAAAATTTCAAAATTGGAATAAATGAAATTGATAATTGTGTTTTATTAGATAACAAGTCGGTGGCTTTTATTTTAGAAGTATTTGAAGAGAATAATGTTTTATTTGTTCTTGCGCAGTGTTTTTTAAATCCAACTTCTTTTTTCACAACACCATGTCCTTCAGAAAGACTTGGCATATTTCAAATTTCAAAGAATACGACTTCAAATACTATTAAAATTCCAGTAACACAAATAACCAGAAAATGTTTAAAAGTTATAAACCTTTCTGAAGTAGACTCTTACATCACAATTTCGCTTTTACTTACTGCAACAGAAAATACTGTTTAATTGCAATACCATATCAAATAAGTTTTTTGGTTTTTATCGGTCTTTATTTTTCATTATGCTTATATAGGTCATGGTCTTTATTTTTGTTATGCTTAAATAACATTAAAATTTGAATTTATATATCAAGGTTGTTGTGTTACAGAGACAATTTATCTTAAAAACTGGCGGAAATAATCAGAAATAAACTGTTTTCGATTAAGGTTTATCGGTTTTTCTTGGTTTTCTTATTTTTCTATGCTTATAATCTTGAATTTTTTTTAAATGACTGATCTGTACGTATTAATCCATTATTTGTAAACATTTCTTATTTGGTTAAAGTTTGTCGGTTTTTATTGGTATTAATTTTTTATGCTTATTGGTCTCAAATTTTTTTCTTATTATTGGTCTTGACTTTTTTATATTTAACATATTGGTCTTACATTTATAAATATTGCTTCATTGGTCAAAGTTTCATCGGTTTTTGTTGGTTTTAATATTTTTTCTTCTATATTGGTCTAACATTTATAAAAACTGTAATTTATAAATTTATAAGGATGATTTCTAATAATAAATCCATTGTCTGATACAATCCGCAGTGGCTTAAACTCTATGAGGGCTTTGGCCTCAAATCACGTCGGTGGGTGCTGGGACTGTCAATTTTTAAATGGCAGAGTCCGTACTGATGAGATTTTCAGAGTCTAAGCCAGTGGGTGCTGGGACTATTTTTTTTTGGAGATAGAGTCCGCATTGGCTTGAATTCTATGAAAGCATTAGTCTCGAAATCACCTTGGGTTTTTATAATGCTAGCTTTACTTACTCAAGTTCTTTATTTGTAATAGCGCGTAGCGATAGATTTTTCATTGCTCAGATTTAATTTTGCCCTGTATCCTTATTGCACTCGTGATATATTGCAGCGTAAATTATTGAAAATTAGATGCAATTAATTTGATTGCATATATTATAATGTTTCATATGTAACGATGCAGCCCGCTGCATCGTTACGGCTACGGACCGTCCATCGTCCGTAGCCCACCAAGGGCGCATCGCGCGCCGATAAATTTCCTATCAAAAACAGCGGCGGTCAACCGCCGAAAATCCCCCACACCCGACCGTTCCGAAATTCCGTATTGTGGGGGACTCGCCGCCGAAACCGCCGATGCTTGCCGATTCGAAATCATTCGGCCGCCAGCCGGGTATAAAAGAGGCCCGGCTGAACGTCTTCTCACCAGACTCCGTTCGCTGATAGACAGCGAACATCCCTCTGCGAGTGTCCCCGTAGTCCTCAACCGAGCATACTCGGTTTTTCGTATACCTGTGCCAGCACACGAGTATCCTCGTGTACCGCCGAGCGTCTTCGGTATTCTTGATTCCCGCATACGAATATATTCGTATACCCGCCAAGCGTACTGGTCCTCTAGGCCACCGAACTCTGTATTGCGGGCATTTCCGCATACCTAGCCAGGTCGCTATTCTAAATTCCGTCTTCGTACGAGCATCCTCGTACTCCCGCCGAACGTAATCGGCAGCCTAAGTCCGCACACCGCGTTTATTCGCCGGGATTTCATAACTGTAATCCGTCCGGCAAGCAACACCGCGTCGACCAATCCGCGCCGCCGAATAGTCCGCATCGATCTACGATCGAACAGACTCGCGATACTACGAACGCACTCACCGACGAGCGCTCCGTCTTGTACCAACCGTTGCGACACGATCGCCCGCGCTTGCGCTCTCGCCGACCGCACCAGGACGCCTCACGTCATACTAAATAATTATTCCACCGTCGCCTCAAATAATTATTTCATTATTACGATACTTCGCATTGATTTTCACGTATACTTCGCATTTATTTTACGCCGCCTTAAATAATTATTTCGCCGCCACTCGAATAATTATTTCATTTTGCCGATATCTCGCATTTATTTTCACGTTGCTTTCGCTTTTATTTTGCGCCGCTTTAAAATAATTATTTCACCATTGCTTAAATAATTATTTCGCCTTTGCCGATATCTTGCATTTATTTTCACATTACTTTTGCTTTTATTTTGCGCCGCTTTCAAAATAATTATTTCACCATTGCTTAAATAATTATTTCGCCTTTGCCGATATCTTGCATTTATTTTCACGTTGCTATCACTTGTTAATTACTTCACCGATATTTGGCTAATTTGTATGCTATTTCAAATTCATCTTGCACACGCTTCGCATGTATGCACGAGCATTGTAGCAGATCATTCGAGGCAAATCGTATCAACATCTTTCTCAATAAACACTGTTTCATTATTTTTCTGATATAAACGAGTATTTGGTTTATTTGACATACCCCCAACCGACCGAACCTGGATTCCGGCGAGCTAATCCGCGTCCGCCGAAGCTCACACGGTTTCACATATAAAAGTAATGTGAATTAAGAAGTTTTTTAACGTTAATAATAAACTATAAAAAATTTTTGAAATTAAAATTGATTCTTTTGTGTTCATCAAATAAACACTGAATATATCTAGCGGATCTATGTACAAGGGCACTATTTGGTACTGAGGTGGTTAGGTTACTGAGGAGGTTAGTGTACAAAATAGCAAAGATTTAGTAACATTTATATAATAAAGTTTAAAATTGGAAAAGTTTAATTATTCGATTAAAATTATTAACATAGAGAATCGTCCAATTATGTCGCTTTATTTATTCCTCAACTGACGATTTGGAAATATGAAACTTTTTTATTAATTTTATGAATAAATTCTTTTCAATCAAAATATGATAAAATTAGTAAAAAGATTTTTATTTCTCTGGACCTTATAAATTGATATGTTATCTTTTTTTTAGATTACATTAAAAGATCATGGCCTAAGTAAATAAAGAAACAAACTACGCGGTAGTAAAATTTTTGTTAGATGGAACTTTCTCAGAAATTCCAGTGGCTCATTCAAAATAATAATATGGTTCGTGAATGTTGGTGGCCACCACGGACAGCCAATTGTGCAACACTAATAGCAAATTGTGCTCATCCAAATAGTACAGGAAAACGATATGACGTGGACATTATAAAATATTGTAGTAAATTAAAGATTTTTATATCTTACATTGCATAATAAATAATACAAAATTAGATTTTTAAACATTTTCACAATTTTACTAAATACTATACTTTCTTTTTTCATTGCAGCATCTCTTGAATCCGCCCGGAAAAATGCATCAGATGCAAGTTATGAAACAACAAATGAAGAAAGATTAGGACGAGAGAAGAGGCAACATATTCCTTTCAATTGTTGCAGTACTGAGGAAGAATCTGAGCCATGTGTAAATAAAACAAGTATGTATTATATGAAAATTTAATGTTTATCAATATTTGAATTATATTAATAATTCAATTACATGAATATTAAAGTGTAATACCTAAATGATTTTTTTGCACAATTATAAATGTTAAATAAAATTTATTGTATTATTTATAGAAAACCGCTTGTATTCGAATGCAATATCAACATCATCCTTGTATCCCGATACGCTCAGTTTAGAATATGGATATTCTAACGCATCTGTATCCAATGCATCTATGTCCAATGCATTTGTGTCCAATGCATCTGTTTCCAATGCATTCGTATCGAATGCATCTGTATTAAATAAATCGCAATCAAATGCAATTCCAATCATATCAAACGCAAGCGACTATGCTATGACAGCAACTGCACAACAAGGTAATTATAACATATAATAATATATAATTAGCAATAATTGTATTATAAAAAATAATACGTTAATACATTTTCAAAACGAGAAATGGAATCACATGTTGCAAGTAATGTAGACTCAACACACCGATAATACTAGAAGGTATGTTATTGAAAAAAATAATAAATAAAGTAATAACATAATAAATTTTTATTATTGTTATATATAATGGATTTATCAAAATATTTTAGGATTTGAAAATACAAATGATTTGGAAACTGATAATAATTCAAACATAACAGGTAAATTTTTAAGATTGTTTATAATGTTAAAATTTGTGAACGTTTTTATGTATATTTTATGTATACTTATGTATATTATTTAATTTTGCAGAAATGCTACAGCAAATATTAAGGATGCTAGCCGTATTAAATGTTTTGCATAAAGAAGTGAAACAACGTTTAAAAAAACTTGAGGATGTTGTAAAAACATCCTATCCACAAAGAGCTTCGAATCTACATCAAGATTGTAAAATAATGAAAGAATTCTTACCTTTTACAACAAATGATGCTGTACGGGAATTTGACAAAGTATTGCGTACGAAGAAGATAGCAGTGCAATTTGTAAGTTTATAAATTTTATTATTAATTGTTTAATCTCATAATATTAAAATTTTAATTTGTATATAAACATTGTTGTGTTACAGAGACAATTTATCTTAAAAACCGGCGGAAATAACCCGAAGGACAGCATACATCAAAATCTGAAGAAAATCTTCAGCAATGAATGTGCGATGCAATGTTCTTGGAAAGGGTTACGAAATAATTTTCGAATTTCTAACTTAAAGGTGATAAATATTTTGAAAGATATGTTAATATACATTCTTAAACTTATAAATAAAAATTTCTAAATGTTTTTATTAATGTATTGTGTTTAATTTTTGCAGGAGAAATAACATCGCAGTTCAGTTTTACAGAGACTGAATTTGATAATATCACCAGCATATGGTTTCGCTTTGCCAAGCAGCGAAAAGAAAGAAGCGATAAGACTAAGGAGAAGGAAATGGAGTAAACACACGTGTGGAGTAGTCAGAAGTATGGCTATCAAAGCTCTACGAGGGATGTTGGCCTCATTGAACTTTTTTGTATACTGCAGGGTAAACTAAATCGTCGAATTCGTTTATAAATGTAATTTTTTTTTTAATGGTTAAAAATTATTATTGGTCAATTAGTTTGAACCTATTTATCGGTCTTAATTTTTTTATGCTTATTGATCTTAACCCTTAGAGGACGGGATGGTTTTAGAACGATTTCTATAGTTTTCAATTTAAAACTTTGAGATATATGTCATAGTAATATATATTGTTATGTCCGTGCTTTTTCACTGCTGATGCTGTGTGCAGTCAGCTGAGAGACCGATCGATAATATCGATCGGTCGCGCAACTGTTCAAGAAGCTGTTTCTTAGCAGCTGAAATATTATAAACAATCTCCATGGTAATTTTGTTTAGACGTCACCATGGATTGTTTGTAAATAAACTATGAGACGTCAGATTTTCGGGTGCTGTCTGCTCGGGCGGACGTGTGCGACGGCTCCGATATTTTAATTGTATTTTCGGATACTAATTGTCGAGTTCTGTGTTATATATTAAAGTGTTCTTTGTTATTTGAAGTGTTGTGTTGTATTTCTTTGATTTCGCGAGTTCCGTTGACGTGTGCGTGAAATATCGTTCCGCGAGCGCAACAATATATTGGCTTCCCGTCCTTTAGAGGTTAAAAATTATTGTATTATTGGTCAATTGGTTTGAACCTATTCATCGGTCTTAAATTTTTTTTCATGTTTATTGGTCTTAACCCTTAAAGGACGGGATGGCTTTCGAACGATTTCTATAGTTTTCAATTTAAAACTTTGAGATATATGTCATAGTAATATATGTATATATCGGTCTCCCGTTCTTCAAAGGTTAATGTTATTCATTACGTTCTTTAATTGAAATAATTATTAATAGTTGAAGAATTATTATTTAATAATTTTATAAGAAAGATAACAAATTAATTGCCTGATACAGTTCGCATTGGCTTAAACTTGATGAGGGCATTGGCTTCCAATTACGTCGGTGGGTGCTGGGACTGTCAATTTTTAAATGACAGAGTCCGCACTGACAAGATTTTTAGAGTCTAAGCCAGTGGGTGCTGGGACTATTTCTTTTTAAAGATAGAGTCCGCACTGGCTTAAACTCTATGAGGGCTTTGCCCTCAAATCAC